ACAAAAAAAAAAAAAAAAAAAAAAACCGTAACTGAATCGCCGATTCACTTTTCGGACTCGCCGATTCCGTACAGTGAATCGGCGATTCACTGTACAGAATCGTCCGGTTCTAGAGAGAACCGGACGATTTTCGATTTTTTGGGCGATCCGGTCCTTTTTCACGATTTCCGCGGCTTTTTTTAAAACGCTGGTTCCACCACATATATCTTCGGCACCTGTTAATGTCAAGCCTCTTCCACTTCCTAATGTAAAGCCTATGTTGCATGGTCAAACTCTCTCTTGGTATAACTTTATAGCTTACATGAGGATCATTCTTGGTCTTCTTAACTAGAAAAAAAAATCTATTTGGCTTTGACATGATCTACTTTTGTAAGTTATTAAACGATCATTTCCCTTTTTGAAGTAGGTATTTGTTATTGTTAGATCGTATGTCACAGTTAAATCAAGAATAAAACCACCCATCTCATTTCTTTCCCTAAATCCATTTCCTTCATGTACCTTTTCTTATCCTTTATATCTTTTCCTATATAACAATTTAAGTCCTGTCCTACAAATGTCCTCTCCCTATTTGGCATTTCTGGACTAGTCCATCCATGTCCTCCTAGAATTGTGCTTTAATTATATCCTCTAATACTAACTGTGGTGCATAGATACTAGTTACATTAATTATATCTCATTCAAATACAATTTTAATTTATAAGAGCCCATCACCTATAATCTTAACATCTATTACTTGATCCTTTCAATGTCATCATCGTCAGAGCCTTTTCTCAACTAATTGGGGTTGGCTACACGAATCTTGATATGTCGTTTTGTTGTATTAAGACCTTAGTGAGGCTATATATCTTGTCCCATTGCTTCTAACTATATCCTTTTGGGCGTACCCCTTGCCATTTTTTAACCTTCCACTTAAACTAACTAGCACCTCCTAGTAGGTGTTGTATTGGGTTTGCGCCACACATGGACAGCCCACCTAGGTGTACTTTCTCTCACTGAACTAACTCGGACCTCCTAGTAGGTGTTGTACTGGGTTTGTGCCACAAATAGCCAGCCTACTTAGGTGTACTTTCTCTCATCTTATTGCCTCTTGGTGCCACACTTAAATTCTTCCAAATATATTCATGCTTTAAATCTTTGTCTACCATTATACCTATGCCATTTCTATTATTATCCTTTTCTGTATATCAAAGTTTCTATTCATCAATTTCCTTAGCTTTTGCCCCTTTCCACTTGATTTTGTGTAAATAACTTGTGTTAATTCTTCATCGCATTGCATCTACTATTTCCACACCTTACCTGATAGACTTTCTACATTCGATGTGCCCAGACGAATCTTATTCTCTTGGGCTAGTTTATTTATTCGCACTCATCCAAACTGGCACATGATTCCTTGCCTACTTATCGCTGCAGCCAGGCATCATTGTGATGTGTCACTTCTAAGGAGCAGTTTAGCTAACCCTTGTTCATTTCGCATTGCACTGGGATGGTAGCACATGTCATTTAGAGTGAATGCCCTAGCATAAGCATGTAATGTTGGATTAGGGTTTATAATAGAAATGTCGCAAAAGTTTTCCACTGGCTGTCAACCTAATACAACTCTCCTTTCTCATCTGGGTTGGGTACCTTTTAGTATGCTTCATCTAAATCAATAAAGACCATGTGAAGGTTTCTTTTCTCTTTATCAACCTCTCTTTAAGTAGGAAAAATAGCCTCAATAGTTGACCTCCCTGGCATAAATCCGAATTGATTTTTTGAGACACTCATTTCCTGTCTTACGTTGCTCATGGTTTATAGTGTGGCTCATAAGTTTCCTCAATTCTTGATCCTATTTAAACTTCAAATATTTTACCGAACCCGAAAGTACTTCGCTAGCAATCTTTCATAGGTCTATATATCGTTGCCTGACTTTGGTGTTACGTTCTTGTTGTTGTGGATATTGGCTGGAGTCATGGCTTAATTCATTGAGCTGAAATAAGATTATATGAAATTTGGGGAAATAGTGCAAATCCTTTACAATAGGACTTTTGAAAGGATAACATCTGATGATTGGCCGACTGGATTCGTTATTTATCTGAAATGTGAGATGGACACCATGATATTTGCATGAGCATGTAGCTTCCACGATTGTGAATGGTACTAGTAGAAAAAACTCTAAGAGCATTCAGTTACATGGTTATGCTTGGAGAAATATATCTCTCACTGCTTTTCTCCATTGGTGACCTAGTCCTTGAATGTTGCACAAAACTTCCATTGTATTTCACTTTTAAAAATAAGAGAGCCATAAAATCATGCTACAAAAATACTGTGATGCAGGTTCCTCTTGAGGATCCCAAGAAGTTTCGTATTGAAATGACATTCAGCCGTGGTGCTGATCTTAGTCCGTTGGAGGTATTCATACCATTCCTATCCAAGTCATGATAGTTCTTTCTTCAATCTTATATCTACTTATCTTCAATGGGTTTGCGTGGACTTTTTTATTGGGTAACATGCAGTACAATGATGGTGAGGCGGCATCTCTTCATCAAGAACATACCCTGCCAATCATGGGGCCAGAGAGGCTTCAAGAAGTAGGGTCATATCTTACATTGGACAGGCTCGAAAAGATGATCCGACCATTTGCAATGCCTGCCGAAGACTTCCCACCACCAACAACGCCTCAGGGATTCCCCGGTTACTTTTCGAAAAGTGGTAGTGTTCTTGAACGCCTTGCCAGCCTCTGGTGGCCCTTCCACAAGCACTCAAATGCCAACACCAAATGAGATGCCACCCTCTTGATTATCTCTCTGCCTCTCTGTGTTTCAATCATCTGGGGCAGGCAGTTTACTCCAAGAAGCAGTGGTGATGATCGGCATGGACTTTTGCCTCGTATCATTGTGGATCGAATGGCTCCTGCAGGCTTTCAGCATGATTCTCTCATGCGCCCATCTCTTTAGAAGAGATGCTCAAGTTCAATAGCTTTTCTAGTTTGTACATAACATGGAAATGGAAACTATAAGGATCCATTCGCAGGCAATGTCTACTTAATAGCAGTTTGTTGTTTGTACCTAATATGCTTTGTCTTGTCCTAGGTTGCTATCCTTTCTAGAGAATGACCATAAATGTTCTTACGTAGAAGATAGGATTAACCAACATAACTTCAGAAGACAAAAACGTATTTTAATGAGAATGGTTTGGGGACTTGGCAGTCATATTGGCGAGCCTCATGGTGGTATCCGACACCATTCTCACTAAAGGGGCTCAAATCCCCACTGACATAATTTTTTTACTTTCCAAAAAAACTTTTTACTTGCCCAAATAAAAAAAACTCATGAAAAAGAACAAGGTGCTGGCAAGGAGCTCACTAAAGGGGCTCAAATCCCCACTGACATAATTTTTTTAATTTCCAAAAAAACTTTTTACTTACCTAAATAAAAAAAACTCATGAAAAAGAACAAGGTGCTGGCAGGGCGGATGATTCCATAGAATAAATTACATGGTCTAGCTCCTCACACAAGGGGCCAAATCGTGCCTTATGACCATTGTAAGCACTGTACGGCTCCAATCTACCTTTTTGTTCTCCAAAGATCCCTCTACTTTCCAATTGAATTGAAAAAGAATTATACAAACTGACTCTTTTGCCCATCTTTTTTCTAATTATAATTTCGTCTCTCCCAAGTGTGTTCCCCAACATCTTGGCTTCCCAAAGTGAAATCTCCCGTTTTTCTTCTAAGCTGCCCAAAACAAGTGAGAAAACAGATTTTTATGAAAATGTATACTATGAGATCATAACTTTGGTAAAATGAGGTCAGAATTGTGCATTTTTAACGTTTAATTAGATCAGGTACGTGTTCAAATTAAAAACCTAAGTTCATTCCTTTTTGTTTCCCTATAATATAATTAATTATTAATTGAAACCATATAGCTCTATCCATTTCTTCACTCGAGTAAATTGATTTGGTTTTGTTCCAATAACAAAAAGAAGATTTTGTTCAGATTCGGTATGAATAAATAAGAATGAAGATTCATAGTTATCCATAGATACGACATGCTCTTTTTTCCATTCATTCCCTTTTAGGATCTTGGTCTAACAAATGCTACCATTGGTATGGATGAATCCCTTGCTTTATCTCAATGTGTAAATGATCATAGTTGCATTTAAAAGCCGAGTATTCTTACCATTGAGTTAGCAAACCAGAAAAAAAATAAAAATACGATACTATACACGATCAAAATGTAACAATAAAGAGATTGGATTGCATGATAAAGAGATTGGATTGCACGATAAAGAGATTGGGTTACTCGACTCATAAAAAAAGCATTAATTTGACCCGGCAAACATTTTATGCTTCCTCTACAACCGTCCATTCTAAATGGATGGTTTATGACCCCAATCACAATGTCACCCAAGCATCTGGCTTGTTGATATCTTCTTAGGAAATCCATGTTGTCTAAAGTTTGGTGATGTGAACCCCTATGAGATCTAATGTCCATCTTCAAAATTTGCTGTGTCTTCCTTCCTTCAACCTTTTCCCGGAAAAGCAGTGAGCTCTTCTATTAGATCCTAGGGCTGATCTCCATAAAACTCGAACAAATCAGAAATATTGAATATTGAGGAAATATTGAAGTCACTAGGCAGTTCTATCTCATATGCATCATGCTTGATCTTCCCCATGATGTGACAAGGACCAAACTTCATTAGTTCATTGCATGTCCTATGGGAACCATTTCCTTTCGAAGGAAAACCACAACAACAGGGCTTTATATTTTCAGAGTTCATTGACCAGTCGCCTAATAATTTATATTGTTTTCTTGAATCTCCTTCCTCACTTGCCCTTTAATGTGGCGAAGTTGCATAGCGAAAGCAATGAGATCACCATTTGTTTTGTTATTGTATATTAGAGCACGACCATGTGCAATCTCAAAAGGAAATTTACGGGTGAACTTTTTAAAATTGTACACAAATTCAGCTTTTGGTAATGCTAAGTCCCACCGAGATATCCCATCTATACAATGCAGCAAGTTTCCTATGCTTTTACATGCTAATTTAGCCATCGTTTTGGGTTAATTTTGTTAGCAATCTCTTCCATAAGGTTCTCCAAAATGAGCTACCAAACTTCGCATCTTGATCGGATGTAATAGCTATGGGTGACCCATGCAATAACAAGAGGGCTACATAAGTTGTTGTATCCATGAACTTCTTACACAGTATGAAGGTGCCATTTTAGAGATTCAAACCATGACCGTAATGATTGGATCCTTACCTGACTGAATAATACGTACTACAAAATCTTACTGACATCCTTCTTTGATATAAAGATAAATGGACTCTTTGTGGACAATCCCAATAACTAATACATATTGTAATAGTTAAATAATATTAAAATATATTAATTATATATTATTTATAATATAATATTATATATTATAATATTATAGCATTATACTATATACGTATAATATTACTATAATATAATAATAATATTATTATCCAAATAGTTGACAAGCATCTCTTAAGTCTCTTATCAGATGCTATCCAGAATGTAGCACTATACTCCAGGAGATGTCAATTCCAGGAGACACCAACTCTAGGAGAGGCCTCTCCCTTGGCTACCCATTTACTGTGAGTCAAACGGAACTTAAGGGTGTGCATTCATTATGCCTCCAGCCTTACGAGCATCACCGTTAGAAGAACATGATAGTTGGAGTGTTTTGTTCCTCTCCTCGAATCTTTTCGAATTTTCTAATGAAATTTGAAAATTTTCTTTGACAACATACCCCAGATTCCTGTTGAGCAGTTTTTGTTTTAGGGTTCACCTTCTAAACAAGTGCAAAACATATATCAATTAGTAATAAGCGAGTATAGCATGATCATGTAGGAGCATCTTGTACAACATCAGAAATTTTAGTAGATTACTATTTTTAAGAAAAAAATTTGAATTTTGAGTTGGATCCGAAAAATATTCTGAGCTTGAGTTTTGATCAAGGGAAAAAAATAAATTCTTGGAGAGTTAAATCTTTTCACATTAGTTAGGTAGATATTAACAAGCGGATAACAAACTGAGTAAATTTCCCCAAGAAACCCCTTCAGAAGACCCCTGTCGTTTGAAAAGTATACGTCAGAAATATGCAAGCGAAATGAAAACAGGAAGAAACTTTTCTCACTTTTGGAGGACACGAATGGAGGTGGCATGCCCATCCGCATCCTTAGCTTCTAGTCTATTGAATACACTAAAACGCTAAAAGAAGTTATTACTTAGGTAGCATTTGATAACTTTCACTGCAGTGTCCCTGAGAATGACCATTGCTGCCGACTTTCTTAAATTTTGGAATGCAAGTGAAAATTGGTAGGGTGGAAACCCTATTTGATAACCTGTGGTGCTGGTAATTTCACCTGTTTGGCATTAGGAAAGCTAGAACTGCTTGTAATACTATTTATTATGTATTTCATTGATACGATGTGCAAAATGCAGTTCTAAAAAATATTTTGTAATTAAATATGTTTCTTCTATTCATCCAACATACTACCAAAAATGTAAATAGATTCAATAAATACCAATATTTATATAAATATTGAAGAATATTCTCATCAAGTCTATCCCCATCTAATGTTCTCTCTCTCAACGCCCACATATTACATAAAAATATTTCATTTGATAACTTCACCGTCCACTTAATGAGGTAAACAATGCTTCCCTCTCATGAGAAAACACATGCATCAGCGATATTTCATATGAAACGCATGAGGCAATTTACACATATCCAATGTATAAAAGTCCTTCGCCCGTCCACCTTCAAGATGCCAAGAGAGGGCCATATGTGGCAACTAAGGGTAATCTACCTTTTGCATTCAAGTTTAGGGATTGTATGGCCATATTTTAGTCAAAATCCTTTTAAAATCATACACCAATAAGATTATTCTAGAAGATGCTATTAGTAACTTGAAGCTTATGATCACAAAAAATCATCAAAAGACAGTTATGCTAAGAATATGCCGTGAGGCTGACACAAGTATGCTATAGAGGATACTGCAGTCTACCAGAGAGTGAATATTAATCTAATGTCATGCTTCCCATTGTCCAGAAACTATGAAATTTAAATCAAAGATTATTAACACAATCCTCGACTTTCATAAATTTTTACTTCAAGATAGAACCATTTTTTCCTTGAATAATTCCTCAAGCCGGAGCCTATTTTCCTAGTTATTTTCTGCAGCATAAAACTACATGAGAATGAAGAACATTTTGTTTTATAGTTTAAAATTGTCCAAAATTCATGCAATTGTTATTTTAATCTCCCAATACCTAAGGTCTATACACAAAATTTGAGCTTCATTGGTGGTCTCTAACATGGGTGTAAAACAAATCTACCACAAATAGCATAAAGTGGGACGGGGATTTATCTGGACTATTTTATATGTCTCCAAAATTCATGAATTTTTTATAGAAACATATTAACACAATTCATACCTAAATAAAAAATATTAGCATTTTTTATATCAGAATTATGGCCAAATCAAATTTACTTCGAGCTGTTCCTCGTAGACTACAATATGCGACCTAAAAATAACAACTTTCTAAGTGCGATTTATTTTGACCACCCATGCATGTCAAAAATCTATAAAATTCTCATGCAAAGACGTTTTTCTATTCACATAAAAAATGAAGCTTCAAATATCAAATGAAAATGACAATAGCAATAAAGGAAAACTAAGAATAGATATGTGATCTTTGAATATATTTGACCCACATTTTAATGAAGAAACTTGAATCAATTTTGCTGCAATTTGATCATGAGCAAAACCACACCAAGCACGATTGAAATTCTAAAGGATATTTATCATTTATTCTCAAGAACAAACATATATCATTTATTTGATAAATAGATATTTAGAAGTCGGAAAATTGTAGCAAAAAAAAAAAATACATCACTGATTTGGGGTTTATTATTAAAAATAGCAGGAAAAAAAATGACATTACTACAATCATTTGAGGTTTAGCATCATAAAATATCATAAAATAAATATAAAAACTCACTGATTTGGGGTATTCTTCTCTGAGGTATTCTTCTGTGAGGGTATTCTTCTATGAGGGTATTCTTCTGTGTGGTAATTATTTTGTGAGGGTATTTT